TTAAGAGGAATTGATTGATTGTGATTGCACCATACCACCTCATCTTATTACCACTGTTTGCATTCCACCTCATCTTATCATCTTATTCATTTCATATCACACCAAATCCTATCATCAGTAATACAATAAAACTCCCCCCAGACTTAACTTGCACCGTCCCGGTGAAAGCAAATCACATTAAGGTGAGAGGTAATATTCAAAGTAAAAGAAAAATAAAGAAAAATTCATTAAAATAAGATAGGGATAGAAAATGGAGATTTGTAAGTGTCCATTGCACTAAGTACCACTTGAGATGACTATGTGTGGCAGTGAGAAGAACTCTCTTCCTCATCTATGGGGTCATCGCCTTCTGAACCAAGCTCTGAGTCTAGTGAGAACTCACCAAGGTCAGGCTCATATGGCTCTCTAGCGGTGGAAGAAGGGCGAAAGAGTCTCTCCGGTGCAATGTGGCGAACTACACGAACTAGGCGTGAGATGAAGCGAGATTGGCATTCCACTATCTTCTCCAGCTTGTTAACACGGTCTAGAGCTTGGTGCGCAGCCATGCCAGTAGTGAGAACATGGCGTTCTTGGATGCGGCGTTGAGTCTTGACTGCATGCTGAAGTGTGCGATAGGTGAGCATGGGGAATGATGGTTTCTCACTTGATGGAACATAGAATCTTCCTCATTGGGCTGGAAAGTGACAACTCCTGAGCGTAGGCTTGGGATGTCTTCATGTGGCAGCAAGACAAGGGAAGTGTTGGCTGGACCAATTGGAAACTCATAGCAAAACCGAGTTGGGTCTTTAGTCCAACGGTTTAGGAAGTGGATGTGCTGAAGAGCATGGAGATCCAAAGGGGTTGGCTTGGGTAGTGGCTCATAGTTGGGAATGTCAATCCCCACATGCAGTACTATGGCCGTGATAAGCCTCCCAAAACGAACACAAAGCTTCTTGTTGCCTTCCAAGTCTTGAGCTAGCTTCCTCACATTGATAAATGTCTTGGCAAGTAAAAGACCAAGGTTGGCCTTGTACTCATGCTTGATGAATGGTGTGGTGAGGATGTAGAACTCATCAGTTGTGACCTTGTTGGCTTCTTGTTTGCATTGGAAAGTGGTGGAGATGAGGCGGTGCACATAGCGAATGGCTGGATGGGTGATTCTAGACACCTTTGACCTTGAAGGCAAGAATGGTTCATTGGCAAAGTGTGTCCAATCAGCAAAGGCAGCTTGTTTCCTCTTTGAGTTCTCCTTGAAGTCATGTGCTGTCTCATTGGGAAGTCCAAAGAGTTGGCATAGAGCTGAGATGGAGATGCGCCCATTGGCATCGCCTATCTTGAAGAGTAGGAGTCCATCACCAGCTGGTTGGTCTCCATTGTGGTTGGGAAAGGCAAGAGCTACTGTGGAGAGAAACTCCTTGGTGAGTTGTGAGTACTCACTACACTCTAGCTTGAAGAGCTTGCTCAAGCCTAGCTTCCTTATGTACCATGTGACATCATCTCTTATCTTGAGAAGATCAAGGGTTTGGGTGTCCATCTTCACACATGGCTCGATGTTCACCTTCTCCATTGCCTTCTTACACTTTCTTGGGTCTTGATTTTGTTCTCCAACAAAGGTTACAAGTGCCCAATCATCTTCTCCTCTTCTTGGACTCTCCACATGTTCTTGATTTGCATCAATGGAATGTGGTGAAGTTGGTATTGCTGCTCTTGCATTGGAGCTACTACTCCCTAGCTTGATTTGCTTCTTTGGTGGTTCCATGAATGGGTTCTTCTTCTTCTTCATACTCTCATTTCCTTTTGTCTTTGCCATTGTGTACCTACAAGAGCAAATTCTTGGGAAGAAATATGAGTTTGTGATTAATGCAAAAGAAGAATAAGCTAATTGAGTTGTAATAATGATATGGAATAATGGAACAACTCAAGGCTTAATCATGAATCAAAGAGACAAAATAGAAATTTCACTTTTTCAAATTAATTTTCGGATTTTACTGTTCATCCCAAGATTATGGTGCTTAAAATCAAAATTTTCAGCAAATCAAGAGAAATTGAGTTTCTAATCCAAGTAATCACTAGATAAACTAATGAATAATCCAAGTAATCACTAGATAAACTAATGAATTGAAGTATGCCTAAGCAATTTCACCTTTGAATAAGGGGTTTGGAATGCCCAATAAGTTTTGTGAAAAACTATTCAATTGTGAAATTAAACTTCAAATTAACTCTAAACCACCTAGGTTCCACCTAGCAAAGTTCATTACAAGACTAATAAGGATGCTAATTTCAAGTTTAGACAAGAGTTTAGACCAAACATGAAACTTATTGAAATTTTCGATCTTGCATAAACATAGGATTAGAGTTAGAAGACATACCTTGTGTGTTGAAAAGTGAATAAGGGTTGCAAGAGCAAGTAAATTCCAATTTAGAGTTATGAACAGTAAAAGTTTTGAAATCAAAACTCTTAGAGTTCCTCTAATGGAGTTTAGGGTTTTGGAGAAGAAAGAGAGGTTCTTGTGGTTTTCAAGGGAAAGGTAAAGTATAAGATCTAAATCCTATCAATTTTCCTTTTCAAATTCGAATTTTGATTGAAAACCGGTTTAAGTTGGTTTAGATTGGTTAAAACCGGTTTGAATTAAATGAAAAGGGGACTTACCTTGGCCTAGAAAAGTTTTGGGCCGATGGCCGAGGATTTTGTCGCGGTCGAGCGATTTGGTCGGCCAAATTCGTTTTGGCCGAGAGATTTCGGCCGAGGCCGAGCTTTGTTTCCCGGATCGACCGGCACGGTCGGTCCGTTCCGATACAAAATCCGGCCGATCGCGGCCTATCTTTTCCGGTTCGTGCGTGTCGCGCGAACGGTTTCTGTCGCGCGATAGAGTGAATCCGGCCGAGCACATGCTATTCCTTCCCGGCTCGACCGTAACGGTCGGCCCGAATGGAATTGCTCGGCCAAAATTCACTTTTGCGCGTCCGCGGCCAATGTTTGGCGCGGATTGTGTTTTCACACCTTTTTCTCCTTCTATCCTATCTTAAAACAAAGAAAACACAAAAGCAAAACAAAAACTAAGAAAATTAAAGAAAGAAAAGTAAAAGTACCTCATGGGTTGCCTCCCATGCAGCGCTTGTTTTAAGTCTTTAGCTTGACTGTAAGGCTTGGCGCTCAGGAGAAGATGGAGACAAGAGGCATCTTGATCCTCCAAGTCTTTTCTCCTTGCAATGAGTATCTGGTGGGTGATTCACAGCTGGATAGACAATCTCTCCATGAATGTCCCTTGGCACTACTGCCTTAGGAAAAAGCTTTAGAGTTCTTGTCACTTTCTCCTTGAATCCTTCTAGATTCTCATCAATAAGCTCCTTGGGAATAGAAGCTTCATGTTGCGGCCAGACCTAGGTTTTCTAACCTTCCTTCTTGGCTTGGCCTCATCTTCAATCTTGGTTGATCCCTTGGGCGGTTTTGGTGTAGGGGCCTTAGTCTTACTCCTTGCTTGTTTGGCAAGCTGCTTGGGCTTAGGAATGGGATCTTCCTTGATTGTTTCTTCAGTTTCTCCTTCTTGGGGTGGCTTCAAAGTAGCTTTCTCCTCTTGGACCATGTCAACAAAAGAGTTCTTTGTTGAACACATAGGGAAGAACATACCCTTGTTCACCTTGTTGAAAGAGATTCTTTGATTGGGGAAATCAAATATGGCACCCACAGTAGACAGGAAAGGGGTTCCAAATATGAGAGGTCTATGGCTACTCTCTCTCATTTCCACAATCTGGAAATCAGTAGGGATAGAGCAATTTCCAATCTGCACCATCACATTAGGCACAAAGCCATAGGGGTTTGTGAGAATGAATCAGCATAGTTGATGGAGATGGATGATGGCTCTATCTTGGTGAGGCCTATCTTGTCAGCTATCCTCTTAGACATGATGTTCACATTGGCTCCTGTGTCACACAAAGATTGCTCAAGAATGTTACCTTTGATGATACAAGGCACACAAACTTTCCTGAGTTATCTGTCTTGGGGATAATCTTTGGGAAGAGTCTTCTCTTTCTAGCTCGATTGGACTCTCTCTCTGGGTAATTCTCTTCAGGCCAAATCATGCAATCAACAGTAGGTTTTGAAAGCATCCATTCTGGAACTTGGTCTTCAAATCTTTCTTCTATGGCGGCTGAGTTGCAAAAGGACTTCTTGGATTCAGCTTCCTGTCTCTTAACAGCTTCCATAGTTTGAGTGACTTGAGTCTCTAGTTTCTTCACATGAGTGGCAACAGCATCATACTTGGTGTTGAGATTGCTGAACAAAGTGTCCATCTTCTCATACATCTCTTTATTGTTTCTCTTCTGGCCATCCATGATCTGTTGGAGGATTCCTTCAAATCTCCCACCTTGTTGGTTTGGAGGAGCTTGATTTGGTGAAGAAGCATATGGCTCCTTGGGCGGATATGATGATCTCTGCTCATATCCTTGCCTTGGCTGAAATTGACTTCCTTGAGATTGGTAAGGAGGTCTTTGTTGTTGTGGATACCTTGGAGGATACACTTGGTCTTGAGGATTCTCCACATTGGGGTTTCTATAAGACATGTTGGGGTTTGGGCGATAGCTTGGATTGTATCCCTTGTTCCCATAGTTTCCAATGTAGTTCACATCTTCTTCATTGGCTTCATTAGAGAAATCTCCCATGCATTCTCTTGATGAATCTTCATTAGCATCACTCATCCCTTCTATTGCATTGATATGCTTGAGCTGTCCCTTAAGAACTTGAGCCATCATGTTCTTGAGTTCAGTCATTTGAAAAGAATCAGGGGAGCTAGTAGTGGTGCGGCTTGAGCGGTCATAATCAGGACAGTTGTTACAATCACTAGCTGCAAGATTCTCAATAAGAACCTTAGCTTCATCAACAGTCTTGGTCATGAAGTTTCCATTGCTTGCAGTGTCCAATGAAAGCTTGTACTTGTGGTCTATGCCACGATAGAAGATGTTCCATAGGTTTCCCTCATTGAAACCATGATTAGGGCAGTCCCTAATGTACTCCTTGAATCGATCTAGCGCCTCATAGAAAGACTCATTGGCGAAAGTGGAGATCTTGGCGTAGAAGTGGTTGATGAATCCTTGTACTCATCCCAAGTGGTGATGGAGTGAGCTGGCAGAGACTTCAACCATCTTGAAGCTTTGTCGCCAAGAGAGAATGAAAAGAGCTTGCACTTAAGGTAGTCAGCAGAGACTCCATTGGATCTTGTAGTGCTGCAAATTTCTTCAAAGTTTTCTATGTGATCAAGAGGGTGCTCAGCTGGAAGTCCATTGAATTGGTTCTGTCTAACCAATGCTATGATCTGAGGCTTGATCTCATAGTCATTCCTTGCAGGAAGTGGTGGATGGATAGGGTTTCTATCCATGAAGAAAGCATCGGCAGAGTCATAGTCTCCGATTGTAGGTGCTCCAGCTTGGGTTGTGCATTCACATCTCCAGCAGGGTCTTGTGGATTAGGAGGAGGAGGAGGTGGATCTCTTCCTTCTTCTTGAGCGCGCGCCACTTCAGCGGCGTGAGCGCGAGCTGCTTCGTCGGCCATCTCTTGGGCTTTTGCTTCCTAAGTTGCTTCTCAAGCTTGTCTATCTCTGGATGTTCAACTAGGTTGTCCTTGTTGGACCTCCTAGTCATGCACCTGAAAAGAGTCTTGGAAACAAGTTAAACTAAAAGGGAAAAACAAAAACAAAAGCAAAAATCAAAGAAAAGGAAATCAAAAACTAAAAATTCAAAAGCAAAAGAAAAGCAAAACAGGAAAAGGTTCTAGACTAGATCCTAGTCGAGTTCCAAAGGTACTGCTGCAGTCCCCGGCAACGGCGCCAAAAACTTGATGCGGAGTCAGGTTTTACCAAACTCCTAGACCTCTGCAAGTGCACAGATCGCGGAAGTATGGGTATCGAACACAAGGACTGGCTATTGAGTACACTTTGAAACTATGGATTTTGGATCAAGCTAAAACAAAAGTATGATTGAGGTTGTAATGGTGAACCGAACTAGCAAGTATAACGAGGTTGTAAAGCAATAAAGGAAAAGCGCTAGGTCATAGGGGCTATCGCAGAGAAGCAAGCAATGATCAATGAAACAATGATAGATTAATTGATTAGGGATATTGGGATATTAAGAACCATCTAGAACACAGATCACGAATATAAAACCATTCCACTTTCGAGGCTCCGGCTCCTTTGCTAATCTACCTAGTCGCTAAACTTTTGGTATGTCCCTAGGTGATTAGATCAAGCATTAGAATGAATAGGTTCTGATACAGTTCACTAGATATAGATAGATCAACTTTCGCAGTCTAAGAAACCTAGCTTGTCAAAGAATATGTCCGGCGAATGATACAGCACTGTCGAGGCTCAAATCAACCTAAGATCGGATTACTAGATGCGCGGTAAAGCAATCAGCATTAGTTAAGTGCACAAGACGAGACAAAGACTCTAATATAATCCCTAGCTAATCATTGAAATCAAAGATCATGCAAGCAACTCATTGAATAGTAACCCTAGCAACCTAACTAGTGGATTACTCAGACATGATCAAAGCAAACACACATAGAGATGAAGAAAACATGATTGCAATAAAACTTAGAGTAGGAAATCGAAATACAGGGCGGCTCTCTTTTCACAAGAGGCTAAAAATATATATATAGTGCTAGGTCTTTTAGAGGCGGCTTAGGGTTAAGCCGGGCTTGAAAACATGAAATGGGCTTCAAAACGGGCTTCGGGTCGACCGCGGCGTTGGGACGGTCGGTCGGGACGATCGGCCGGACAGTCGGGTCGTGGCCGAGTCGGAACGGTCGGGCCGGATGGATTCACGGTCGGCCGGCGTGGTCGAGCGGATGAGATTTGGCCGATGGTTTCTCGGCCGGACGTGGGACGTTCTTTCCCGGCTCGGACGGATGCATCGGCCGTGGTACGCGAGGGTTGCGCGGCCGCGAGGCTTGTTTCCCGGCTCGCGCGCTTTGGTCGTGCGCGGCTGGCGTGAGGTGTGCTTGGCCGACCGCGGGACAATGTTTCCCGGGTCGTGTTGCGTGATCGGCCGACGGTTTGGACTTTGGCCGAGACTTCAGTCGGACGGACAGTTTTGGCCGAGCGCGGAACATCGTTCCTCGGCCAGCCGGACTGCGCGGTTGGGCGCTGATTCTCGATAGAGCCGTCTGGACAGTCTTCACTCTTTTGGTTATAACTCCTTTTCTACTCATCCAAATGAGGCCATTCCAGTTGCGTTGGAAAGTTAACTCAATCAGAGCACGCAGGGAACTGGTCTTGATGAAATCCATTGAGTAGATCTTTTTCTGGGCCCTCTTAAAGTTGGTGCTTGTGCATGGAGCTGCTTGAAGTGCAAATCCTATGGTTTTGCTCCAAAATGCATCATTTCACCTGTTTAGACTCTAGACACTATAAACACAGTAAAACTACCTTTTTAGATAGAAAACCTGCCAAAAACCATTAGAAAACAATGCTAAAACAGTATAAAAAGTGGGTAAATTAGAGGTATATCAATCTCTCAAAGAAAAAGGTTGAGCTTTAGTAGAATGCGAAGGGTAAAAATTAAGGATGATACAAGGCTAGACTCCCATCTACCCAAGACCAATTAAACACAATCCCCTGTTTCCCAAGAATCCTATCAACTCTTTTAGGTAAACCTTTTTTCTTTTCTCTGCTTTCAAGCCCTTAGGAGAGGTTTCTAAACTTCATCTAGCGGTTTGGGAGTTTTCTTTTATTTGGCTTTTTAAGCTCTTTTCTAAACTTGGCTTTTGCCTTTCTTTCTTCTCTTTTTCTAGCTAGAGCTTTACTTTCTTTCCCAAACCTTTACTAGAGAGCTACGCTTTCACAACTCTTCCCTCCTAAGAGACTCGGCTTAAAACTTTTCTTCCCCTTTTTAAGACTTTCTTTTGGAACTCTCTTTCTCTCTTCTTCCTTTTTAGAACTTCCCCAAGCCCCAAATGATGTTTCCCTCAAACTTAGTTCTAACTAGCTCAAAGGAACGAGCTCGAATCTACATGGAAGCCTAGACCTTGTCGGTAAAAACCCAACACCTTCTACCAAGCTCAACCAAAAAGGCCTCACACACTCAGAAATAGCAAATTGGTTTCAAAGAAGGTTTGGTTAAGGGTGGGGAAATCTACTTGGATTAACAAGAATGGTGAAAAGGGTGAAAGATAATCCAAGTATGTGTATGTATCCACGAGTTCTTAGCAAATGCACAAGGATGATAATTAGACATTCAAATTCAGGTTTTGATAGGCAGGATGAGAGATCAAATCACAACAATGCTTCAGCCAAATCTAGATATCAAAGAGTGCATTCAAAGTGTGGTTCTTTCTTAACTTTAAGCTCGCTCTATATGCACCAAATGATTCAAAACCGGATCATTGAAACCAATTCGAAAATCACAGCCTCTTATTTCTCATTGTCCTCAATGCAATTGAAATGATATGCATCTAGAATCAATCCTAAAATGCAATTGGATCGGTGGAAGACGTTGGAGGTGGCGATGCGCCTGTTTTCTCTTCCGCTTGCTTCTCCTTAACGCCAGCTCCACGGTTTTAGTTGGCGATGCGGCTTTGTTGCTTTAGGTGACTTGCAAGAGAGTTTCTCCTTGAGGACGTTGACCGTCTCGGTGAGCTTCTTGATCACCTCATCTTGTTTCTTGCACCACTTTTGAAGCATGCCAATGTGCTCGTGCGCCTTGATGATTGCCGGACGCTTCCACTCGCGTTGTAAGGGATGAAGTCAAACTCACCAAGCTACTTGATCGTCTCTCCAAAGCTCACCTTCTTCTCTCCCTTGTTCTTCCTCAACCGTTGCATCGCCTCCATCCATAAACAGTTGATCCGCAGTCGGGAGAAACAGGATTCCTTCCCGGGTGTTGGTGTTTGTGAGCTCAACGTTTGGTAATAGAACCTTTGAGATGCCGAATGTGGGATGCTCAAAGCGATAGATGTGCTTGCCGTCGTGCATTCCACGCAGGAACCAAGTCTTGTTCAGATAGGCGAGGTCCATAAACGTAGGCGGGTGAGAAGGAGCAGGGAGCTTGACTTTGTGGCAAGGAGGATCGGAGTGATCAGGCTGCCTATCACAAGTGTGCCTCCTTGATCTTGCCTTGTTCATAGGACAGCTCAGCATTCCTCATGACGTGCATGAAGGAGTTCACCATCACAACTGCTTTGCTTGTCTGCCTCAAGTCTCCTTTCATTTCTTCCCCATCATCCAGAGTTTCAAGCTTCTGGATTATGCCGGCGTCGAGCAGCTCAAGTTCTTGCGTTGTGACGTTTGAGCAGTCATGCCTTGCAAAGAGAGTATTGGCGATCTCCTTATGAGCGTAGCGTATGGCCGGGTTCTTGATGTGACCGCTCTTGTTCTTGGAGATCTGATAGGACCTGAGCTTATCATCCTCCAAAGGGCATGGAGTTCTGTTGCTGGCACACACATCTCTGTGTCAAGCCCCCGGTTCTCTTCAACTTGTAAATGGTCTCCAGCTCCAACATGCTGAACAGATACTCTTGTCCCAGAAGCGTGAAGGTGATGTATCCGATCCCATCTCTCTTGAGCTCAGCAGCTGCTTCTTGGGATGCTTCTTGAGCTTCAAGGACGCGAGGAACTCATCGCCGGTTCTCTGTACGCCGGAAGGGCTAGCTTCGTGAACTCTCCGAGCTCGGTGTAGTAGAGGATATCATTTACATCCTCCTCTATTCCCAGTTCCTTGATGGTTTCCGGATGTGGGTAACGCATCGACATGAACTGCATTCTCCTTAAGATACGGATGCGTTCCTGGACCCCATAAGGTCTGGGATCATGAGTCGTCCATTCTTGCCCAGCAGTCTCTGGCCACTTCGGAGCTGATTCCTTAACTGCCCCTTTCTTCCTCTTTCCACTATACTCCATCTTCTTCTTCCCCTCACGCTTTTCTTCTCTTGCCCTCTCCACATCCTCGCTTTGAACTGGCTTATTGTGAACTTCGTTTTTGCCATTGTACCTGAGAGACAAACAATCCTCACAAGACAATTAGCCTCTGTTTTTAGAACGACCAAAACGAGAAATCTAAGTCAAAGTCTCGGTTTAAACCAAATTCGATTTGTGCGATTAAGAACAAACTCAAAACTTTAAATCCAACCGCTCAAGTTCATGTGTAAGGAAATTTTAAAAACATGCCGTGAATTCCGAGATTTTTAGCTAGAAAGCTCAAGAACACTTTGAATGTTAAATCTCGAAATTCACTTCTAGCACGAAATTTCCCACATGCAACTCGAATTCGATCTACCTAGTCGCAATAAGCCGGATCTACTCAAGAATGGAAACAAACGGTTTCTCTTGTGGATAAAAAAAACCGCAAGTGAAAGAGTAAAAACGAAGATCGAATACCTTGATTGGACTGTCAGACTTAGATGAATCGAGCTAAACTTGATCGAGCGGCGGATTTAAAGAGTTTGAGCTTTGAAATTCGAATTTTGGTTGAGAAACGAAGAAATCCGAGATTTTCGTGTAGAGAAATCGGGAAAAAGCTTTTGAAGTAGAAGAAACCCAAGTTTTAAAATAAAAGGAGAAAGGGTTTCTCGGGTTTTTAAAAATTCAAAAAGAAACGGGTCACTTACTGACGCGGGTTGTCAAGATTTGGAACCTGATTGACAACCCGATTGCTTTAATTCACCCGGTTAAGCTGAGATTAGAGTCAAAGGAGTTGATTGGGCAGTTGTCTTTGCACTGGGACAAGCAATGTCCCTGATAAAACTGCCCATTTCCAACTCCTCTACTTACTCTCAGCTCTCTCTTGCTCCATCCTACAAAACACATTAGACAAAAACAAAAACTAGAAAAAAAAGAACAAGTACTATTACAAAAGGATAACATGGGACTTCCTCCCAAGTGAGCTTGTTTTGAGTCTCATAGCTTGACTTTCATTGCCTTTTTAGGCTTGGGGTGGATCATGGAGACGGATTGAACTTCCCTCTCCAATGCTTTGACTCCCCATGTACTTCTTCAACCGGTGACCGTTAACCGTGAACTCGGCTCCATTGTTGTTCACTAGGGTGATGGCTCCATAAGGCAACACTTCCTTGACCTTGAATGGTCCTGACCAGCGACACTTCAGCTTCCCAGGGAATAGCTTGAGCCTTGAGTTGTAAGGAGCACATCATCTCCCTCTTTGAAAACCTTGGGAGTGATTCTCTTGTCATGGAAGGCCTTAGTTCTCTCCTTGTATATTCTCGAACTCTCAAGCATCCAAGCGAATCTCCTCTAGTTCGTGGAGGTCCATTTCCCGCTTCTCCTGAGCTGTACTTAGCTCCATGTTTAGGAACTTGATTGCCCATCTAGCTCTATATTCCAACTCAAGGGGCAAATGGCAAGACTTCCCATAGATCAAAGAGTATGGAGATCTCCCAATTGGCGTTTTGTAAGCAGTTCTATAAGCCCACAAAGCATCATCCAATTTCTCTGACCAGTCCTTCCTTGACGAGTTCACTGTCTTGTGGAGTATGGCTTTGATTTGCTTGTTAGATACCTCCACTTGACCACTAGTTTGAGGGTGGTATGGTGTAGCTATCTTGTGCTTTACACCATATTTCTTCAAAAGGTTCTCAAACACCTTGTTCACAAAGTGAGTTCCTCCATCACTGATCACACATCTTGGGACCCCAAACCTTGGGAAAATGATAGTCTTGAACACTTGAGGACTACTTTGGCATCGTTGGTTGGTGCGGCTATGGCTTCAACCCATTTTGAGACATAGTCGACGGCGACAAGTATGTAAACGTTGCCGTGAGAGGCAGGGTTAAATGGGCCAACAAAATCTATTCCCCACACGTCAAAACCTCAACTTCCAAGATAGGATTCTGAGGCATCTCGTTCCTCGCCGTGATGTTCCCTGCCTTTTGACAAGCCTCACACTTAGAGATGAAGGCATGAGCATCTTTGAACATACTTGGCCACCAAAAGCCTGCTTGTAACACCTTCTGGACCGTTTTAAAAACCGCAAAGTGGCCTCCATAGCTTGACCCGTGGCAATGGAACAAATTCCCTCAACTCTTCTTTAGCCACACATCTTCTGAACAAGTTATCATTCCCTTTTCTGAACAAATAGGGCTCATCCCAATAGTAGTGAACCACATCTTTGAAGAACTTCTTTCTCTGGTACCACTCCATCCACTTGGAACTTCCTGCACACCAAGTAGTTCACAAAGTCTGCGTACCACGGAACCTCTCTCCTCTTGCTATTCACGCCTCTTCCAGCCGGCACTTGGTCAAGTAGCCTCTATCCACGATCTTAGCAGCCATAAGTTGCTCCTCAGGCAAAGAGTCATCGATGGGAACATCTCCCTCAATCCTCAATCTTGATAGATGATCGGCCACGCTATTCTCGGTGCCTTTCTTGTCGACGATCTCGATATCGAACTCTTGAAGCAAGAGAACCCATCTATCAGCCTCGGTTTAGCATCTTTCTTGGTGTAGAGATACTTGAGAGCTGCGTGGTCGGTGTGAACTATGACCTTTGAGCCCACAATGTAGCTCCTGAACTTGTCAAAAGCAAACACCACGGCTAGTAATTCTTTCTCGGTTGTCGTCGTAACGGGTTTGAGCATCATCTAGCGTTCTACTTGCGTAGTAGATGACGTTCATCTTCTTATCCACCTTCTGACCTACACTGCTCCAACCGCGAAGTCTGAGGCATCACACATTATCTCAAAGGGGCAAGTCCCAATTTGGAGCTTGGACAATTGGTGCGCTAACAAGGGCTTCCTTGATCTTCAAGAAAGCTTGGCTACACTCTTCATCAAAGATGAACTCTGTTTCTTTGCATAAGAGTCTTGTGAGTGGCCTGCTATCTTAGAAAAATCTTTGATAAAGCGCCTGTAGAAACCCGCATGTCCCAAGAAGCTTCTCACATCCTTAACTGATTTTGGCTCCCCAAGTTGCACCATTACTTCTATCTTTGCCTTGTCCACTTCAATGCCTTTCTCTGAGATCTTGTGGCCAAGGACTATCCCCTCTTTCACCATAAAATGGCACTTCTCCCAATTCAAAGACCAAGCCGTTTCCTCACATCTTTTCAGCACCCTACATAGATTAGACAAACAAGAGGAAAAAGAAGAGCCATAGACCGAGAAGTCGTCCATGAAGACCTCAACCATTTCCTCTATTAGATCCGAAAAGATTGAAAGCATGGCTCTTTGAAACGTTGCTGGGGCATTACATAATCCAAACGGCATTCTTCGATATGCGAAGGTGCCATATGGACATGTAAATGTGGTCTTTTCCTGGTCATTTGGATGGATTGGAACCTGGAAAAAACCACTGTAGCCATCCAAGAAACAATAAAATGGATGACATGCCAACCTTTCAAGCATTTGGTCAATGAATGGCAAAGGAAAATGATCTTTCCTTGATGCAGAATTTAACTTACGATAATCAATGCACATTCTATGTCCAACTATTGTCCTACTTGGGATCAATTCATTCTTTTCGTTCTTGATGACAGTAATCCCACCCTTTTTTGGGACGCAATGTACTGGAGAAACCCAAGTACTGTCCGAAATAGGGTAAATGATTCCTGCATCAAGAAGCTTCAAGATTTCTTTCTTTACTACTTCTTTAAGATTGGGGTTTAACCTACGCTGATGTTCAATAGATCCCTTTGATTCATTTTCGAGATGGATCCTGTGAGTGCATAGAGTAGGGGAGAGACCCTTGATATCGTCCAGCGAGTATCCAAGAGCTCTCCTGTACTTTCGCAGCTCAACAAGGAGGGTTTCAAGCTCATGGGGGTTAATGCATCATTGACAATGACAGGGTATGTGGAGTTAGAGCCTAAGAACGCATACCTGAGCCCCTTTGGGAGTGGCTTGAGATCGACTTTGGGAGCCTTAAGCTCAGACCAGTCATCGTCCGTGCCTTGCTCTTGAGAGCTTTCCTCTTGGTTTAGACTCTAGAGCAAACAGGTTCTCAACCTGTTTTCATCCCGGATGCTTCGTTTCTGATGACCAACTCCTCAAAGCCTGTCTTCTTTTGCTGCTCTGTGTGAGTCCATAAGCCAAGCATAACCCATACTCTCTGCTTGTAGACACCCAAATCCTCATTATCCTTAGTCAAGCCAGCTGCAGCTTATCCTCAACTCCCAATTCCTCCAAGTAGTCATCGGCTAGCTGCTCAAGTGTTTCAATGTAAAATGACTCGCCATTGATAGTTGGTTGCTTCATAACATCTTTTACATTGAACACCATCTTGCAGTCTTTACCCAAATTCAGCTCAATCTTGCCTCTTCTCACGTCTATTATAGCTCCAGCAGTGGCAAGGAAAGGTCTTCCCAAAATCAGAGGATCTTTGGGTTCTTCATCCATCTCTACTACCACAAAGTCAGTTGGAACTATCACACTTCCCACCTTGAGTGGCATATCTTCAAGCATGCCTACTGGAAGCTTAACTGATCTATCAGCAAGGATCAGAGAGAAATGCACTCCTTGTATTTTCAAAACCCAAACGCCTTGCCACAGTCAAAGGCATTATGCTTACACTTGCTCCCAAATCACACAAACTTTTCTTGAAAGCTAAGGTCCCAAGGAACAGGGAGAGTGAAGCTTCCAGGATCACCAAGCTTCTTTGTTACTGTCTTGCTTTGAATTATAGCACTACACTCTTGAGACAATACCACCATGCCTTGCACTTCCTTGGTTCTCTCCAAATGGCATCTTTCAAAAATTTCTGATAAGGCTTGATCATCATGAGAGCATCCACAAAAGGGATTTTCAGTTGATCTCTGACAATTGCTGATCAAAACTTTCTGCATTTCTCTGCCATTTGTTTCTTGAAACGTGTTGGGAAAGGCAGCATTGGTTTGAATGGTGGAGGAACAAAAAGAGTTTCCCTTCTCTTCTGTTTCCTTTTGACGGTTCTGCTGCGTTGTCCTCTGCTTCTTCAGGTCTGGTTCACTGATTCTTTCTCAACTCTCTCCTCAGCTTCAATGTCGACTGACTCCTCCTCCTCTTGAATCGCAACGTCCTCGTTGCTTCTTGATGGTACCACTCTCTCCGGAAGAACTCTCCCACTCTTAAGAGTAATTGCTTGCACATACTCCTTTGGGTTTGCGATTGCTTTTCCAGGAAGCATTCCCTTTGAAGAGAAGGATGTTGTGGCTCTTAGCTTCCAAGTGTTGAACTTTGAGTTTAAAGATTCCAACTTCTTGTTGAGGTCATTGTAAGAGCAATCACCTTGTTGTTGATCTCGGCTAGCTTGGTGTTAGCTCAGTAGCTCCACTTGTTTCCCTTTGATTAAGTTGTTGAAGCATGGTCTTCATATCAATCTTGACTTGAGTTGCTCCCTGCTTGAGCTTGAGTTGAGCCTTGGTTCTGATTCCAAAAACCTTTGGTGGGTAACCACGCTTGAAGTAAACACGTTTGTTGGCCCCCTTGATTTTGGTTTTGTTGAGGTGGGTAGACTTGGTCTTGTGGATTCTCCACATTGGTGCTGCGGTAAGAGAGGTTCGTGTTGTTGTTTGTGTTGTAACCCTTGTAGTAACCTCCCTGATTACTCATATAGCACACTTCCTCAGTTTGTTGGTCCTCCCCTCTTGGTTCACATCATCCTCACAAACAAAGTGAACTTGCTTTTGCTGGCCAGTCAAGATCTTGTCAAGCTTGTCATTCAATGTCTTGATCTCCTTCTTGTGTTTCTCATCATTGACTGAGCTATCTCCTCTATCACTTCGATCATACTCCTCTGGATAGTTTCCATCACTAAGAGCAACATTCTCCACCAAAGCGAGCCCATCATCTACATCCATTCCCATAAAATGACCCTTACTAGCTGAATCCAAATGCATCTTGTACTTAGGGGAGACTCCTCTGTACAATGTGCTTAGTAAGTTCTCTTTGGAGAAGCCGTGATGAGGACACTTCATTTGATATCCCTTGAATCGCTCATATGCCTCTGAGAATGTTTCACCGGTGAGTTGAGTGAAACTCGCAATGTTGTTCCTTAGCTGAGCAGTTCTTGACGTGGGAAGAACTTCGCAAGAAAGGCATGCTTGCATTGTTCCCAAGTTGTCACGGTTCCAGGTTGGATTGAAGACTCCCAAGCTAGTGCGTTCACTCAAAGAGAAGGGAACAATCGGAGCTTAAGAGCATCCTCAGTGACATTGTTGATCTTTTGCAAAGCACAAATTCTATCAAACTTTTCCAAGTGCTTCAAAGGATCTTCATCTTTCATTCCGTGAAAGATGGAATTCTCCACCAAGTTTATCAAGCTTGTCTTGATGTCGAAGTTGAAATTTGGGACCGGTGGTGGGGTAATGCCGGGACGGTTCGCTGGAATCGTCGGAATATCGCCAGCTCCGATTTGTCTTGCCGGACGTTGAGCTTGAAGCTGGATTCCCGGCTGTGGTGGAAAAGCTCCCGGTGGAGGAGCTCCTCCGTGGTTATCTGCCATTGTATCAGAGCAGAGTCGTCGTCACTGAGCTCGGAGCCTGTCTGAAATCTGAACTCGACTCTGCTTCTACTCTGTTTGCCGTTGACGCTCGCGTTTAGCTCGTTCAGCTCGTTGAAGTTCGTCGGAGCTTAACAAGTTTGATTTGCCGCGAGAGCGTGTTTGCATACACCTGAGAGTAAGACAAGCAAAGCCCAGGCAGATTAGATGTAAGTTGCAGAAATTTAAAAACTTGAACTTGAAATTTTTCCAAAATCGAAAAATCCCAATCAAATCCCAAGATTGGCAACGGCGCCAGTTTGAAAACAAGATTTTTAGATCCAAACCCTCAAATCTCTGCTCATATCATTGCAGTATAGTTTAAGGTATCAATCCAAATCTCGGAGAAGATTGGGTTTAAAGATTGCAAGAAAGCTTCAAGCCAAGAACAAGATTTGGTTTTTAGAAATCCGAACGTTAAACAGTAAAATACAAACTTAGAACAGTAAATTAACGGTCCAAATCAAATTCAAAGAGGAAAGAAATCGACTTTGAGCTAAAAGACTTTA